GCAGCCTTGATTTTCTTCCATTCTCACAGTGAGGTCCAGGATCTCTGTTCTGTGTTAAACATTTGCAGAAATAAAGGGCCTTCTATCTTTTTCATACTCTCTAAGGGACTATATCTACTTTCTTCATATATCTGATATATATCTAGTTTATTAGCTTAATCATGTAAAAATAATCACACTCTGTTTATATATTGAGTTGAATTCAGCTGAAATGAATATGAATTTTCTTCTTTGGCTCACTGATATGCTAATCACATTATGGATTTTCTGACACTGAATCATCACTATATTTTTTGAATAAGCCTTATTTGATGGAAACAAATTGTTCTTTTGTTGTAATAACTGTTGGATTCAGTGATGTGGATAAAATTAGTGCATCGTTTTCCTCTTTTTTTATTGGAGAAGTCTAAGTGGAATTTCTCTCACAAATATGCATCCTGCTGAACTGTACTGAAAACTTGATATTTGTTTGACTCTGATACTTCTTTTTTGTGTGATTGTGTGTGATGCTGGGGATTGAACCCAGGGCCTTGTGCATGTGAGGCAAGCACTCTACCAACTGAGCTACATCCCCAGCCCCATTCCTCTTTTTTAAAAAAATGTATTTTGGTACTGGGGATTGAACTCAGGGGCACTCGACCACTGAACCACATCCCCAGCCCTATTTTGTATTATATTTAGGTCAGGGTCTCACTGAGTTGCTTAGTGCCTTGCTGTTGCTGAGGCTGGCTTTGAACTTGTGATCCTCCTGAGTCAGCCTCCCAAGATACTGGGATTACAGGTGTGTGCCTGGCCATCATTTTCATCTCTTGTACTACCCTTAGCTGGCCCTGGAAAAGAATGCACACCCTTCCTAAGATGATCTGGAAGCTTTAGTCTTTTCTGCGTTCCAGGCTGCATGTGTAAGAGAGGCATGGTCTCTCCTTCAAGTGTGGTAGGACCCGCCCAACTGCCTTGTTACCTGGACAGGAGCCCAGGGCAAGAGGTGACACTGAAATGTTTCTTTGATGTTCATTACTCTATTTTAGTTTTCCATTTCTTCCTGTTGTTTTCACCTTTATGTCTTTCTAAAAATGCATCACTCTTAATTTTCAAACTTATAGGCATAAAGTTGTTCATAATTGTTTTTCATTTTAAAATTTCTGTATGTATAATCATTTCCCTTTTCATTTTAAATCTTCTACCTTTTCCCTAGCAATCATTCTTGAAATCTGGTGACCTCATCAATTTGAATTGACTCTGTTTATCTTCTTTCTTTTTCTTTTTCATTGAATTTTGCTGTCTCCTTTATTACTTGTGTCAATCATTTAGCTCATTTGTTTTGACAGTTCTTTTTCCTGATAAATTTGTTTAAAAACATCTGTCATTCTGTGTACTATTTTCAACTAAATTATTTAATCTTTCTTTTTATTTATTTATTTGTTGGTCCTGGGGTTGAACCCCAGGGTGTTTAACTACTGAGCCACATCCCCAGTCCTCTTTTATATTTTACTTACAGACTGAGTCTCGCTAAGTTGCTTAGGGCCTCGCTAAATGGCTAAGACTGACCTCAGACTTGCGATCCTCCTGCCTCAGCCTCCTAAACTGCTGGCATTATAGGCATGAGCCACTGTTTCCAGCTTGCTTATCTTTCCTTAAAGCTTAGAAATTCATTATTTTTTCCTGTGGTAATTCTCCTCCTACATTTCTCTTACTTTCTGGGTGTTTATTTACCTAGGTGTCAGAATCTTTGTTTCTATCCTTCATGTCTCTTAGCTTTTCTATTTTCTGTTATTTGATCTTTCATGCTGCCCTAGGGTTAGTACCTCAGTCTGACTTTTTATATATTAGTAAAAAAAAATTTGTTTTAATTAGTTTTACATGACAGTAGAATGTACTTTGATACAATGTATATAATGGAGTATAATTTCTCATTCTTCTGGTTATACATGATGTAGAATCCCACTGGTCAAATAGTTATATATGTTCATAGAGTAACGATGTCTGATTCATTATTAGTTAATCTTCAGTTGCAAAAGTCTCATTTGTTATATCATCTGTTATGTTCTTTATTCCAACTATTATTAAAACTCAGTTTTTCTGCTAGACTCATTGGCTTTTATGTTTGCTCCAAATTATCAATATCTTGCTTTGATTCTTTTTAAACCCTTTTATTGTGAATTAGAGGACATTTTCAAGAATACATAAAACAAAATAATGTACAGCCAATGATTATCAAGGCAAACACCCACGTAACTAGTACCTGTGCCAGGAAATAGAGCTTTGTCAGCATCCCTCAGGGCAGCACGTAGTTTACGAACTTTTAGGAACTGAAGTCCCTTTACCCATAAAGCCCAGCAAAGCTCCTACTACGTGGTAGGACCTCATGTAGTAAACACGGCAGGTCCTCTTGTGTATTATTTATGTAACATGCAGTTACTGAGTAATCGCTGCTTTCAAGGATACCAACTCACTTGTAGCTGGATGCAGCCATGTGACAGGAGAACCCAAGAAGGAGAAATGACATCTCCTTAGGGTGTCCCTTAACTTATGGCCATCACCTGGGGCAGTTAACACCTGTAAGACTGAGAAAACTACCTTCTCCATAGGAGGGGCAGAAAATGAGGAATGAAGGATATGACACTAAACCGAGAGTCCTAACTGAGTTTTTCCTATTGTAGGTGGCAACTTTTCTGTGACAGAAGAGGACATAGGCATGTCACCAGCTTCAAGTCTGCTTGAAAACTGCAGTCCCAGCTTTCTTTTGAATCTCTCTGTGCCTCTCAATGCAGTCACTGGACTGATGTACCCAAGACCTGTCTTATTCCCACCTGTTTTTGATCCTACTCAGACTCAGCACCTAGCACAGGGCCTGACACATACAAAGTATCCAGTTAATGTTGTTGGAATCGGAAGTGTGGTAACAGGTGGCCCCCACACTGGGTGGACTTCACACCCCCTTTTCCTCTGGGACTTCTCCCTATGCTGCATCCTTCCAGAAAAAAATCCCAGAGACCAACACATAGCTGGTGTGTGAGAGCTGGACCTGCCTGATGCCTGCTTTCTTAGCTGCAGGGCCTTCCCCATTTCCTTCACCCCAGTCCTCTAGAGGCACGTCTCCTGGACCCGTATGTGCATGCAGAAACCACAGTTTCTGATTCTGCCAGAGAATGTCGCTTCCACCCTGGTCCTGCCCTGGCCTGTGGCATGTGGAGCAGTGGGTGGGGGATGGTTATGGAAGATTCCATTCGGATATGTTTTGTAATATTCAGTGCCTGAAGGCTCCACAGAGGAATCTACACATTCTGTGTCTAGGGATTTAATAGTGATCATGATTTTAAGACTTTTCAGAATACTCATGACCCATTTCTGTGTTTGAATGACAAGGTTATAATCATATTATTTTTCTGCTACATAGACTTCTCATGTGGTGGCTCTGAATCTAGAAAGGAAAACCAAGAGATAAAGGGTCCTCATTTGTCCGCTGTAAACTGTCCTCATCCCTTCATTATGTGACAGCTGAAATTTCTACACAACCCAAGGCAACAGTTATTCCTGTATTAGTGATGCCCTAGACTCCACCTTCAGCCCCAAACTCTCCTGGAAATGGGGGAGTCTGGTGCCCAGATTCAGGGCACAGTGAGAGGAGACTGTGAGAGAAGAGCACTGTAGATTGTAGGAACTGACCAGGGGCAGGCATCTAGGAGTATATGGACCCAGAAACTGCTTCTATGAAGCCAGAGACAGGGAGGTGACCGCTTTGTGTGTCAAGAGCTGTAGAGCACTCAAGATGTGCATCTCCACAAAAAAGTAGTACTAGACAGACCTGGTAACTCTTGCCTATAATCCCAGCATCTTGGGAGGCTGAGGCAGGAGGATTGCAAATTTGAGGCCAACCTCAGTAACTTAGCAAGGCCCTAAGCAACTTAGTAAGATACTGTCTCTAAATTAAAAAATAAAAAGGACTGGGATGTTGCTCAGTGGTAAAGTGACCCTTGGTTCAATCCCTAGTGCCCCAAATTAAAATAAGAAGTGCTTAGTCCCAGGACAGACAAGTTATGGTTTTATAAGACTATCTAGACTTAAAGATAACCTAATATGACATATAGAACTAAGAAAAATTTTGCATTGTAAAAAAAAGACTTGTGTTTGAAAAAGTACTACATATACTGCTTTGTCTTTCAACAATTAGGATGCATCTCCCATAGTACAAATTATTAGGAGAAGAGGTCTGGGTAGGCTGGGGAATACAGATTTTGAGGATAAGTCTGTACATTCTCCTTGATGCACTCAAAAGGGTAAGACATATTTGGTTAAGCAGTATTTATTATGTACACGATGAAAATGTTTAAATTTATAATCCTTAATTCTGATTTTTATTTTATTTCTTAACTGATAATGGTAAAACATGCTCTTAATAAGATATATGTTGAATCGGTGAATACAGGTCACATAACCATATTCATATTCAGAGTCACTGCCTGCTCACCAAAGAATAACTAAGAATCATGGTCTGAGACCTACATAGATGAAAGGGGCAAATATGATTATGGGGCAGCCCATAATATAAATATAGCAAATTCAGAAGAAGAACTGTAGAGCACAGAGTATGTGCAGCTCCACAAAAAGAAGTCCTATCCAGACCTGGTGATTCACGCCTGTACTCCAACTGGCTACTTTATGCAGCAGTTAGGATCTCCCATTTTCACGTTTTCCTCTTGCCTGTTGTGTACATGACAATGAACTTCTCCATTATCTCTGTTTACCTCAAGCCAAAGCAATGGCAGAGATGACTCGCTGCAATTCTTTAAAAGGAAAGTTTTTTTTTTTATAAGAGACAGAGAGAGAGAGAGAATTTTAATATTTATTTTTTTTTAGTTTTTGGCGAACACAACATCTTTGTTTGCATGTGGTGCTCAGGATCGAACCCGGGCCGCACGCATGCCAGACGAGCGCGCTACCACTTGAGCCACATCCCCAGCCCCAACGCTGCAATTCTTAAAAGAAAACAGACAACTATGTTGGATTTTAATTATTTATGGAGTTCAGGAACTTGGTTGAAAGCCTCAGGAAACTTTTGCATTGAGTCAAAGAGCAGAGCTATAGACTCTGGTTTCAGAGCAATTACTTTGCAGGACCATCTTCTTGGGAAGCTGGGGGTCTGCCCCAGAATCAGCCTCAGGGACTAAAGAAATGCAGAAAAATCCTTGTTCCAAGACACAGAGAGTCTTCTGTAAGATCAGGAGCCCTGTGGGGTGGAGAAAAAGTCATCCCAGGTTGGTGAGCCCTCTTCCTCTGAGCCCCAGGACAGAAAAGGTAGGGTTTTATAAGATTGAGTCTTAGCCTGATAAAAACCCGTTTTCCTGAGCTTCCATCCCCAGTGGAGTAAAGGAAGGCCCTTTGCCCACACTCACTCAAGGGCTGAGGCTGAGAGGGAAGTTCAGGCCTGCGACCCTCTTCCCTGTGGTCAGTCAAAATGCAAGGACAACACTTAATCCTTCTGCAACCCAGTCCCTCAAGAAAACAGAGGAGTGTTACCTGTTTATCAAGGTCCTCGTTGAGCTGGAATGAAAGGAGCAAAGGGGATGCATTCAGCCATTAAAACCACCTCAGGATGAGAGACACCCTTATCCCACCTTCCAGTGCCCCTCACTACATGGACCCCACATGAGCCTGAGCACCAGACCTTGTCATCTGGGCTTTCCTCCCTCCCTACAGGCCATCTTTGCTTTGACGAACTGATTTCAGTGGCTTCTAGAACTCTCCAGCACTGCTCTCCTGTCTCAGTCCCTCAACATGCAGATGAGGAAGCCAGGAAGGCAAGCCTCGGTCTCCTCCTGGCTTTCTTACCTTTCTTGCTTCTCTTGTGCATGAAGACGCCCACTACAAGGAAGATGAGCCCCAGCACGAAGCCCCCAACCCCGGTGAGGGTCTTGTTCCGGGCAGAGTCAGACTGTGCCTCTGGGAAGAACAGAATCCAGGATTAGTTTCAGGGCCTCCAGCTGCATCCCTTCCTGGGTCTTGTCTGAGATCCTGGAGCTGGAGCAGGAGGTCAGCAGGAGTGTTATGGGCCAGGCTCTAGGAGTGAGGACCAAACAGATTCCATTTTGCCCTGAGACTCCATGTCATGTGAGAAATGCTTCTCCCAGGGAACACCCCACCTCTGTACCCATCAACAGTGGCTTAGCATAGCGTGTTTGGCAACATAAAATGGCAATTCTTCTACAGTGTAAAAGTGTTCTCTCTCTTTGGTTCCCGTTTTTCTTGGACAATGTTCCCTGTCAGAGACAGATTGTCTAGATGTTAGTTACCATTCTTTAACTTGTAATCAACTAGGGACGTTTTGGCCCACTCCCTTTTCTGCTTATGATTTTAGATCTCATGACGTTTGCTTATGGTTTTGAATCATAGCAACAGCCGCTTATGCTTTAATATGGTTTTGGACTATAAAGAATACTCAAACTCCGGGAGGGGGTTGAAGGGTGGAGACTTGCAGCCTATCCCTTGGTCCGCCAGCTGGTGGATCCTGACCACCAGCTGATGAATAAAGTGTCTGTCTCTTGCTTTAAGATCAACTCAGTGATTTATTGCAATCTCGCCTTACCATGAAGACAGTGAGGGAGTCCACTGAGAAGTAAATTTAGAAAGGACCCACCCAGTTCTGGACTTAGGCTGGTGAATTGAACAAGAGAACAGATGCTGATTCTGGCAGCTGTCATTCAACATAACAAAGACCAGGGGAAAAGGTATTGTATGAGGGCAATTCAGGAAAACAGCTGATTCCCTAGGTTTTCTGACAAAGCGGGAGATCCTCAATCCTTAGGATACGCTACACCAGAGACAGGCTAGTTTCCACTGTCTCCATTTCAGAACTGCCCTCAGGGGCTTGTATAGAAAACACATGCTGGTAAAAGTGGTCCCAGTGTACAGACGTGTAAGACAAGATGCGTGGACCTTGGAGCTAGTGTTCATAATATGGGGTCTAGAAGGGCTGTTAGGGGGTAACTCACTCCACTCCACAGTGACAGGACTGTTCAGGCTGGGGTGCTCCACGTGGCAGGTGTAGACATCTCCCTGTTTGGGGGTCATCTCCAGCATCACCATGATCTGGAAGGTCCAGTCTCCATTATGGATCAGGTCGGTGGCCACAATCCCAGCTGTTTCTTCCTGTCCATTCAGGAACCATCGGACTTCAATGTTGCCTGGGTAGAAATCTGTCACGTGGCAGACAAGCAGGTCGTGGTGCTGCAGGGACCCCTTCTTGGAGGGTGACACATGTACTTTAGGCTGGACTAGAATGGAAGGAAAAGAAGGAGTGACAATTGAGATTATAATTTCTTAGATGCTTTTATTAAGGAAGTAGTTTCTAGATGTTTAAGATATAAATATATGGGCTGGGGCTCAGTGGTAGCACACTTGCCTGGCATGTGTGAAGCACTGGGTTCGATTCTCAGCACCACATATACATAAATAAATAAATGTCTATCAACAACTAAAAAAATTTTTTAAAAAAGATATAAATGTCATTATTAGGCTAGTTGCACTGAAAAGACGGAAACAGACTTTTGGTGAAGGCGTTCCTGCACCTGCTGTCTGACAGGGTCACAGCGTGGGAGATGCTGGGGCAAGGTCGCATCATCTGGAAACCTAAACCATGAGGAATGTTAAGTGTTTTGTTTATGATACTCATGATATGGAGAACAGAGCTACGTCAATCAATAACAAAAGTACATATTGCCTGAGATTGCAGGAAAATTCCCAGAATGAGACTAAGGATACAAGTGAGATATGCCATGAGGTGCATTTCAATGTCTCTCAGGATACAAACAATGGTGATATTCCTCAAGCTCAAGAAATATTTATCCCATGGTTAACAATTTACACTAGCTCCCCCAACCCCATCCTGAAGCCACAACCTGTACAACATCCTCGCTACAGAAAAACAATTGCTGTGCCAACAGTACAAGGACCACCGAATGTAGCTTATGGTATCCTCTCGATGACAAGAGGCTAATAAAAATACATTCCCCAACCAATAGACCCTCCTTTGTTTTATGCAGAAACTTATGATGAAAATGGAAAACACACAGTTAATATGAATGAGTTGAGATGTAAAGCCTGCCCTTTAGTTAAAGATTACAAAGACCTAAGAATTGGTGTGCTTTGACCAAGGATCAAGAAAGTTCTTTAAGAAAGCAGTCAAATAGGTCATATGAAAAAAGGAAATTACCTTGGAAATTAAAAATAGAATAATGGGGCTGGGGATGTGGTTCAAGCAGTAGCGCGCTCGCCTGGCATGCGTGCGGCCCGGGTTCGATCCTCAGCACCACATACAAACAAAGATGTTGTGTCTGCCGAGAACTAAAAAATAAATAAATATTAAAAAATTCTCTCTTTCTCTCTCTCTCTCTCTTTAAAAAGAAAAACAGAAAAAGTTTTAATTTAAAAAAAAATTTAAAAAAATAAAAATAGAATAATGTAAAATTAACATAGATATATTTTAGAGGCACTTCAGAGTAGTAGGCTTTTAAGTAATAGACTTTCATTATTTTAAGTGTGTTTTATTGGGATTTCTGTTTAAAAGTAATAAAGCTTTCCAATAATTATAAGTATGCTTTAAAATTAAAGGTTAATAAAAAATGATAGGAATGCTTTAAAGTTAGAAGTGAATAATAGGTCAGGAGTCATGTAGTCTAGTTGTGTCGCCTAGCACCTAGTGATTGAGGTAAAAACCTAAAAGCTTAATCATGATTGTCTAAGGTTACAGAAAAATATTTTGAACAATGTACTCAATATCTTAGGTAATCAATGTATGTCAGAAAAGACTGTAACTCTTGAAAATTATGTAAATCAAAAAAGTTTCAGGCTTTGAAGCTATCCATTAACTACCTGAAAAAACACTGTAAAAAAGGTATAAAAATAAAGTTCCCTCCAGGGGCAGAGAGATGTCTTCTGGAGGCTGCTTGTAACTTGCAACCTGTTGTCCTGACTCTTCTACTTTCGCCAACGCCACTCCTTCTTCAGGACCCCTGGAACCCCACTCCCCCCAACGGGACTGGACCTCGGCAGACTTTTGAAGAGAATATACAAGTTTTTAAGTTACATATCAAGGACTGAGAATATTAGGAGCAAGACAAAAGCAGTGCTTGTTAGGTAACAGACATGAGCGGTGGTCAGGGTTTAAGACAACAAGTAGGGCAGATCCAGTCAGTTCATTAACGGCCCTGCCTCAGTGGTACCGCAAGGGATGATAAGTTAGCTATTTTATTACCCTTGCCTGATTTCAAGCCTATAAACTATTCATTTTACAACAGGAGGAAGGTAGATATATTCAGAGGGATAGGAACCAAGGATTTGTTTGCTCAAAAAGGCTTAATTGCTAAGATACCTTAAGCAATATCGGGGAAAAAAAAAAAAAGCACAACCCAGGTCAGAGATTCCAAGACCTAAGAAAGGAGGATGATTAAGTTCAGAGCCCAGTGATCATAAATTCTGTCAAACACGTTCCAATCCGGACCTGTCAGACAGGCCAGGATGACCAAGAGTTGCCCTCGGTTTGTCGTACTATAATATTGTAATATGAATCAGAGGTTTAAAAAATCTAATGTGGTCTGTCAGTCCAGAGTGAGAGATGATATTTGGGTGGGACTTCCTAAGAATCCTCCTACATATCCAATAAAATGAAGCTCAAAAAGAAATGAGTTGTTATTCTCCTCTTTGAGAGGACCCGACCGCCCCCCACTCCCTTGGGAGTGCTTGTGCCTTCTTCTCTTTAATAAATTTTGCTATAGTTTTACTACTTTTCATATTTTGCTTGAAATTGCCTCCTGAGAGAATCCAAAAGCTGAAAACCCTGTTAGAGTCTGTAAACAAGTCTGGATGGCGCCTGGCATTTTGCCAGAGGGAGTGGTTTGTGAAGTAATGCCAGCGAGCCATTGAGTGTGGAGATTCCTTATTGGTTGAGTGATGTATCTAGTTTATGCTAATTAAGATAAGCTGTGTGGAATGTATAAATACCGCTCCTGTCCTACAATAAACGGCTCCCACTCCTGCTGTATCAATCTACACAAGTTGCTCCCCCCCCCCGCCCCGGTTATTTTGCTGTAGCCGGCCTGCGGCAGAACCCCAGCAAATCTCCATGACACTTTGTGGCACATTTAGCAGAAATTTTAACTATAAGCTATTGATTAATAAATAGTGTTTGGATAAAGAATATTTCTCCAATTGTGAAACTACCTATCTTTTCAATGTTCTATCTTGATGAAAAGAACACAAAATTCACTCAGATAACTTTTTGAAGTTAAGATATATGTGGCATTCTCTTTCTCTATTGACCTAATAATTTTATGTCATAAAAATTAAAATTAAACAGAACGAACTTGACAATGACTTATTTTTCAAATAGTCTATATATTTTATGCCATTTCCTATCTACAAAAACTCAAGATATTTAGAGTAATATCCTCAAACCCAACATTCTGAGCCCCTTTTGCTGAATTAATAGGAATTCCTGTCCATGGCCAAATTTCTCATTTTAAGTGTCTTTCTGTTGTTTGAGGAGCCCATAGGTATAGGTCCAGCCTGTGTCTCTGCTTGTCTCTGTTTGATGTACTTTCTTCTCCTTGTTTTTTCCTCATCCATATTGCCCACATCAGTTTGCATTCTGTTGCCTATTTCCTCCTAGACCCTCTTGATAGTTACTACTTCTGGACATCTGTCACCATTATCTTCCTCCCCTCCTTAGGCCAGAAAAGATCCAGCTGCCTCTGGAGAAAACCTATTAAGAGAATTTCCCACCTAAGACCTTCCAGGTATTTAAAAAGTTAGTTCTTTTTTCTCTAATTTCTACTTCCCAGAGCAAACAAATACCTTGAGATGGGACAGGCATATTTTTGCAATTTACCTAGAATGTTGTTTCCTATAGCTACTTGGTTTTGTACATAGAGTAGTCCACGCTGCCCGCCTTTTTATACTCGTGGTGCTTGTAGGAACACCATTTTACTTCAACCACCTTTATAAACTCACGGTTCATCAGACAGTTCAATTCCTATCTGAGTCACAGTTTGTGAAATAATTAAATTTCTCTGGACCTCATGAAATCAAGCTCTACACCGAAATTTACTTTGAGGCCCAGAACATTCCACAAGAACTTTGACTGAAGTATAAAATTGATTTCTAGGAGAAGATGAAGCTAAGTCTACAGGTCCAGCGCTTCCGTTTCTCAACCAGTTCAAAATACATTTCACAAAGGCAAAGACTTCCAGGTAAGTGGAAGACTGTCCGCTTATTTGCTTCTAGAATTATGTTAGGAAATTCTGCAGCTCTTTCTCCCCTTCCTCTATTTTCTTCCCCCTTATAATTCATGCCCTGATTACTATTCCCTAGACAATAATAACATTTTCTTACTCCAGCTCTGATTGCAGTCATTCCCATTTAACACTCTCTGAACCCAAAATTACGACCTTGTCATTTACTATTTAAAAAGAAAACTCCTCAGGATCTGGCAACAGTTACCTGGTTACATGGGAATCACTGGGAAACTAAAAATACAGATTTCTTGACTTCACCACCTACTAAATGTGAATCTCTGGGCAGTGTCTCTGGGGGCATGTGTGTTTTAAAAAGATCTCTAGGAGGTTCTACTTAGCAGAACTAGTTTGGGACCCACTGGCCTAAGTGATTAACCCAAATTACTCAGGCTGACACCAGGGCAATCTGGCAATGGATTATTTAGATTTATGTCCTACAAATTTGTATTAGACCCTACAGTTGTTGCCAGTCCTATTTCTTCTCTTTGGATTTTCTCACTAATTACTTTGGTAACTATCCTAAACTCATGTCATTCTCTTAATTCTTATCCAATTTGTCCACATTCTGATTCCTTCCACTTTCCAAAAGAAGAGGGATCAAAGGTGAGCCCTCCCACAGCTCCTGCCTTCTTCTACCTATCATCCTTCCCCTTTCTCTGTGAGAAGGATCCCTAGTTTTGTGGAAGGCTCATCTCTTCATCCCTCAGGTCTTCTCAGGTTGGTGCATAGGGGTCCCCCAATCCACAAGCTGATGGTAAGAGGAAGCTCACGCTCTCTTCTCTCATCCTTGAAAGGTCCTGAGGCTCTGCACAAACATCACCTCTCTTCCCCCTCTTCACACTCAGGCTCCCTGAACCAATAAGAGTCCAAGACAAAATGCCATCTCCTCCTCAAAGAATTTACGGTTTATGCTCAGCCTGGGTCCTCACCCTTAATTCTCAGCCCATGTGGTCCAGCTCCTGGTCCTACTCTGCAGACAACCTGTTCTCTCTGGTTTCCAAGCCCACCTTTCAACTTCTATTTACTTATCTTCTGAAGTCATTGGTACAACTGTTCAGTTCCCATCTCCCTCGCTACTTCAGCGTCTGTGACCCTTCTCTGCCCAATTCTTATAATACTCACCCTTTACTTTCTGGTCCTCCCAGATATTTCTCTTAGCCAACATCATAATTGTCCACGGACCTAGGAATCAGCCCTTTGCTCTCTTTCCTGGATCCGCCTTCCTCCTTAGATAATTTTGCCCAGCCCAGACGCTCCTCCCCAGCTTCGAATCCCTACTATACCCGCCCATGAGAGATCTGCCCAAACCCCTCAAGCTGTCCAACCCAACCATCTCCCCCAAGGGAGTTTCTTCTCTGCGTGGCCTGCAGCGCTTGGAGGGCAGCATCTCTGCCTCCTCACTGCCCCACAGTCAGTGGGCAGGCCTGATGGTGTGTTTCTCTCTCCACCCAGCCCTCCCTCTTTTCATGTTCAGCACAGTTCACGTCCTTGCCCTGGCTCCACGAGAAGGCTGACTCACCCGCATGGATCCCCAGCACCCAAACCCCTTCACTGGGCCCCTCCCCGCCCCGCATCCCCACGGGGCTCGAAGCCCAGCGGCAACCGCGAGCCCCGCCCGCGGCCTCACCTCGGCGCTTCAGGGTGAAGCCCTCGTCCAGCTCGTAGTTCTGTCTGCATCCGGTGTCCACCACGGCCCGCTTCTGCTCCAGGACGTCCTTCTGGCTGTTGAAGTACTCGGCTTGCTGCCGCCCCAGCTCGCTCACCGCGCGGTACTCCCCCACGTCGCTGTCGAAGCGCACGAGCTCCTCCAGGTTGTAGATGTATCTCTCCACGAAGCGCTGCGTCCCGTTGAAGGCGTAGCATTCCTGCCGTCCCTGGTAGACGTGATTCTCTGCGGGGAGCAGGACGGCGCTGAGCCCGGCCGCGACTCCCTGGGGATGCGACCTCGGCCACCTCACGACTCCCTCCCCAGACCCCTCCTCAGCCTCTCGGCCGAGTACACCACCCTCCCGCTCGCCCCTCGGCTTCGGTCAGCGCTGACTCCAGGATCCGGCGCGGTCGCCTCTGGCCGCCTGCCAGCCAGCAGGGCCCGGGGGAGACCCCTCACTCATCTTCAAGGATTGCCGCTAATGTACTAGGTAGTAACTCTTTTTCCCACTCAGCGCTGAATCTTAAAATAGTATTTCTTTTTTCTAACAGAGTTCTGTGGTCTTAAGCGGGTCACCCAGCCCTCTGTGATTTCCTATCGGTGACCAGAATTCACTGAATAAACTGTGACTCACTGCTAGAGGGGTGACTTAGTGATCTTTGGGGAGGTGCGGGCATACTGAGAAGCTCATCCATTCTGCAGCAGATGGGGCAGGAGCAGTAGTTCACCTGAGGTCACAGGAAGGAGCAGAACCTCACTAGGACATAAAGCCCTTCAGGAAGAGAAACTGCAGGGGCAGAAGGAGCTGGGGAATGGAGAGTGGTGCTGTTCTCCCTGTTGGTGCTCCCTGCCTGACACTGCCATCCTGGAGTCAACCTTGCCTCACCGTGACCTGTTCCAAGAAATCTTCCCTTATTTCCTTCTCTTCCATAACCAAGTGCTCTTTCCTCTGTGCCACTATCTTGTATATATCTTAATCTACTCTGGCTTTGCATGCGGGAAATGTATAAATAATTTCCCTAAAACTTTCTTGAATATTAGTATAAGAAAGCCTTCCTCTCCTGGAAGTTAATGTATCTGTTTACCTTTCAAACATGGCTATGGAAAGACCTGATTTCAAAAGGTGTAGAAGGTACTTTAATCATTGAAAAGCACCACAATCACCAGAGATCCATGAAGGTGGACTCCATTGTTTCTAAAGGCAGGATTTTGAAGGTAAGTTTTCCACAGCAGAGCTGTCCTTCCAATGGATACTCACACTAACAAGTGACTAACAAGAGCAAGTTCTGCCTCCCTTCTCAGCAAGTGGACATGATGTAATGGGAGAGAGTTCCTGGGACTAAAAGGGCTGGGCTCAGGGTATTCAAATATGGCTACCCCTAGAAATAAGGACAATATATCTTAGAAAGATTCTAAGAGAAGGCTCCTGTAAAGGAAATGTGGAAATTAGTGGAAAACTAAGATAGCTCCTTGATAGCCCTCCCTCCTATGGTGGACTATAGACTTTGGAAGCATCCTGAGAAAATGGGATCACAGAGCCATAATACTACACTAGGAAGAGGGAGGCAGTGTGAGGAAGAGGTCTTTCCATTAGTTGCTCCTTGATTGGCTGTCGGGTATTCTGTAGTAATCCTTTCTTACACACCTACACACCCTCATTTCATTCTTCCTACAAATCTCAGTTCACTCTTGTGCTCTAATCAAGCTCTTGGAAGTTTGCATTTATTACCTTCAACAAGAATGCTCTGGGGGTAGAACCCATTCCCTTTCTCTTAATCTTGCCATCACCTTCCAATAGTCTTGGCTTTTACCCGACCCTAGGGAGAATAAGGCACTCTCCTTAAGCACGACCTAAAGGTCGTGATGCGATATGAGAATACACAGGAGGCTGATCCTGCTGAATGCTCTCTGGAAACCTTGTCCTTCCTATGTTATTCCAGCCCCCCTGGCCCATTTTCCACAACATACTTCTCCTTTGGCATTGCTCCCCAGTTCACTGTCCTTGTGTCCCTGGAAAGAGGACGGGTTGGCTGGATAGCAATGGGGAAGTTAACCTGATTCTCTAGATGGGAAGGAAGGACATGGGATGTGGCAGGAATCTCCATAGCCTTTCTCAAAGTCTGGTTCCCAGAAGGGAAATGCCCTTGGGAATGTTCCCTGAGCTAGGCCCTCCAGGAATAGCCACTTTGCTCTTACCTGGAGTGGCCCTGCCCTGGACCATGGGGTGGCTCAGCACCATCAGTAACACCGTCAGAGCTGTTGTCCAGGGGGCTTCAGGGGCCTGCAGGACCATCATAGAGCTGGAAGAGGCTGGTGAGAGAAAGTAGCAGTCAGGGAATCAGGGACTCACTGAACAGAGCTCCTGTGTGAAATATCAGAGACCACAGACCAGAATAGTCTCCTCCAACCCTGGGATTAGACAGACTCTGAGGAAAGAACCAATGAGTAAGAACCTTTAGATGAGTCATCATTCACTGGGCAGATGGTTAGTGTGAAAGGTCTGACCTGATGCACTCAAAATAATGGAGGGAGGATAGTGATACTCAGTTTACCAGTTGAATAAATCACAACGTTTGGGGAAATTGTGTTTTCTTCGTTCTGAAAGTGATCTCAAATATTTTGTTGCTCCTTCTATGTGGATTATCATTCCCCCAACCCTGACACTTCTCACATACCCACAGGTCATGGTATGGCATGAATGCCATCTGAGGGGATAAAAGGTCATCCTGTGGTATGATTTATAGAGGTTATAGTGCCCATCCCAGACAACATGAGTCCTAGAGTTCATCTGCCTTGCCTTTGTTTAAAGAGGTGTTTAGGATTATCAGTATTCATATTTTCTTTCCCCTAGAAGCATGTTAGTTTTGAGAGGAACAGGGGACCTAGGGTGCCCCCCATAGGAATGTCATCAGGGTCATCAGGACTCAGTCTAGGGTCCTGGTAGTATGTATGTAGCTGTACTACCAAGTAAGTTTGCAACTTAGAGGATATTGCCTTTTTGGACTTCAATTCTTTATCTTTTATGTGGGGCTGATATAACCTTATATATAACAGCAATACTCTTAAGTTCAAATAAAATAAATGTATCTGAAATTTCTCTGGAATAGTAAAATACTGGAAGCCATTCGTGAAATGCGTGAGGAACTTTTTCAGCCAGTGAGGGGGCAGATGTGGCATTGGGAACTTCCCATGGCAGTCCTACAGTGGTAGACCACCTGGTGCAGGTGAACTCCCCCTCTGCTCTGCTAGAAAGGTCCCTGCAGCACCTGCGATGGGCGTAACCCACTAGGAACTGAGCAGCCTACCTGCCTGCACCTTTAACCTGTTTTGGCAAAGAACTTTCCATAGAATTTCTTTGATGTCTTCAGATATAAATAAAGCAAACATGGGTTTCTTTCTTTGAAGCTGGACCCGTCTGGTCAGCTTTACCTGTCTCTGCCCCCTCTGAAAATACTTTCTGTGTTCTGTGGTTATTTTTTTTTTACTATTTTTACTATTTTTCTTAGCTTTTATTTCTCAGCCAGTCCATCCCACTGAAGGGAAACCCACTCCCTCATCTGTGCCAGATGTGAATGATAGTAAAGTCCATGGGGAATATAAATAGACCAGTAAATGAGGAAGAAATTTTTTTTTTTAATTATCAAAAACACTGCCTCCTCCAAAACATTTGCTTATGTTGTTTATTGTGAATTTTTTACAAATTTTAAAGAACATCACTGTCTACTTTTATAAACTTATACATGTGATCCTATTGGACCACAAATTCTGATAAAGAATGTCAAACTGGAACAATTTCTTTAAATAGATATTAAAATTAAATGAAATGCTAAATAAATAATATGTAATTATGTATAATGTTTAATATATAATCTATAACAATAATTAATAATAAACAAAATTTAAATGAAGTGCTAGCAGAGAAAATGCACTAGAAGAAAATAATTACATAAGAATGAGGAGTCAGCATAGAATCGTGGAATTAAAACTCAGGTTCTTCAGTAAAAGTGCCTGGGTTGGTCTCCTCTTTGTCACTTATCTGCTTCAGATGATAGAATAATAGCTCCTCAGTGTTTCAATGGACGTTAGTAATACAGGTTTGATGTGAAGATTAAGTGAGATAATATTTGTGAAGCTCTAAAAATGGTCTCTCTCCTTACTAATTTGTTAATACCTACTTATTATTTGTACATAATCAGGGTACCATAAAATAAGAAAAATATTGATATGCTTCATTATTACATTAAATATTAAGTGCCTTATAGTCTTACCTGTGAATACTAGAGAAATACTTCAAAATAAAAATCTTTAAAATAAGAGCAGTTTCTTAAATATGGTTAAAAAAAAAAAGGTAAAACAACAACATCACCATTACATGTAACAGGAAAACATTAGAGAAATTTATCTTAAAAAGTAAATTGAAAACAAGGAGCCATTGTTACTAGTACAGGGTTGTGTTGGGTATTCCCATGTGAAAATGAAATAAAATGAATAGTAATAATAATAGTAATAGTAATCTAAAGGAGAAAAATGATTTCAGACAGCTTTCACACAGGAGAACTCACATAGTTAGAAACCCAGATACAAGGATTATGTAGAAATTTCATTAACAAAGGTAACCAGGCATAGAAAATACTTAACGATCAGCTTTATTCAAGTTAATTTAAACCTCTAAATAGAAACTATAAAACTTCTACATAAAAAATTTAAAAATGACATCTCAGACAGGTGGGCCTGAAAGGAAGATTATTTTTATTAGAGAGTGCATTTATTTCTAAGTCATGGCAGAATGTTTTTTGTAAATTTAATGAACTAACTTTAAAAATCATTCAGGAAAAAACTAGTGGGAAAAATATCAAAAATAATTTGGCTAGCTTCACTTAGCATAATCTGCTCTAATGCCATCCATTTCCCTGTAAATTCTATGATTTTGTCATTTTTTAATGCAGAGTAATACTCCATTGTGTATAAATGCCACATTTTTTTTATCCATTCATCTATTGAAGGGCATCTAGGTTGGTTCCACAGTCTTGCTATTGTGAATTGTGCTGCTATGAACATCGATGTAGCAGTGTCCCTGTAGCATGCTCTTTTTAGGTCTTTAGGGAATAGACCGAGAAGGGGAATAGCTGGGTCAAATGGTGGCTCCATTCCCAGCTTTCCAAGAAATCTCCATACTGCTTTCCAAATTGGCTGCACCAATTTGCAGTCCCACCAGTAATGTACAAGTGTACCCTTTTCCCCACATCCTCGCCAGCACTTGTTGTTGTTTGACTTCATAATGGCTGCCAATCTAACTGGAGTGAGATGGTATCTTAGGGTGGTTTTGATTTGCATTTCTCTGACTGCTAGAGATGGTGAGCATTTTTTCATGTACTTGTTGATTGATTGTATGTCCTCCTCTGAGAAGTGTCTGTTCAGGTCCTTGGCCCATTTGTTGATTGGGTTGTTTGTTCTCTTATTGTCTAATTTTTTGAGTTCTTTGTATACTCTGGATATTAGGGCTCTATCTGAAGTGTGAGGAGTAAAGATTATGCTAAGTGAAGCTAGCCAATCCCTAAAAAACAAATGCCAAATGTCTTCTTTGATATAAGGAGAGTAACTAAGAACAGAGTAGGGTCGAAGAGCATGAGAAGAAGATTAACATTAAACAGGGATGAGAGGTGGGAGGGACAGGTAGAGAGAAGGGAAATTGCATGGAAATGGAAGGAGACCCTCAGAGTTATACAAAAGTACATACAAGAGGAAGTGAGGGGAAGGGGAAAAATAATACAAGGGGGACAAATGAATGTCAGTAGAGGGGGCAGAGAGAGAAGAGGCGAGGGGAGGGGAGGGGAGGGGGGATAGTAGAGGATAGGAAAGGCAGCAGAACACAACAGACACTAGTATGGCAATATGTAAATCAATGGATGTGTAACTGATGTGATTCTGCAATCTGTATATGGGGTAAAAATGGGAGCTCATAACCCACTTGAATCAAAGTGTGAAATATGATATATCAAGAATTATGTAATGTTTTGAACAGCCAACAATAAATAAAAAAAAAAAAAAACTGAAAAGGGCCAGGGATGTAGCTCAGAGATAAAGCATCCATGGGCTAGATTCTCAGTACTGGAAAAAAAAAAAAGAAAAAGAATAAGAAAAACACTAATTTATTACTTTAACAGATTAAAGGAGAGATACCATATCTTAGTAAACAAAAATTTCTAAAATAAATTTTACTATCCATTTATAACAAATAGAAATATAAAAATAAATCCTTAGGAAGCTAAAATAGAATCTCTTACCTCCTAAACTGTATATCAGCAGCAATAATTCCAGTTCATGGTGAAGAGTTGAATATTTTCCCTTTCAGACCAAAGAAAATAATTCCCACTATAGCCTTTGTATTCAACATTATATTAGATGAGAGAAACAAAGGTATAAGAATTAGAAAAATGAAATAAACATTCATTACTCATATATAATATTGGCTTCATAGAAAACACAAAAATCTATGGAGAAATTATTAGTTTTATTGTATATTACTTAATAAAAAATCAATATACAAAAATCACTGAATTTATATAAATAGCAACAAATTAAATAAACATTTTTTAAACATCAAAAAAAATAATTTGGATCTCTGGGAGAAAGCAGGAAGACTAATTCCATCATATAACAGAACTTAATATAAAATATTTGTTACAGAATAATGTACAACTTATCTTTTCAAGCCTAATTCTGAAAATCAACTCTGAATGGGCTCTCCCTTGGCCCTGCTGGCTCCTGGAAGTCCTCCACCTCCTCCTGAGCCCCTTGCAGTCTCTCTTTACCTGGCAACAGGGAGAGTCAGCTTTACCAGGTCTCTGATTGGTTAACCCAGCCGTGCTCATCCCTCTTCACCCCTTCTCACAATTTCAGTCTATAGAAGCCCACAGTTTCAGAGCTCTTGTCTGTCCCCTTCTGCCTCAGTCCCTCATCATTCTTCCTGTGCTGTCGTCAGTTGTGGACCCCACAAGGTGTGTCTGAAGAGAGGATGTTCCAGACCCAAAGCATGCTCCTGAGAGCCCTCTCCCTGGCTTTGCTGCTGAGTCTCCCAGGAGCTGGGGCCATCAAGGGTGAGTGCTCAGGAAGTGTGAGAGGGTTGATCAGAGCTGGGGGCAGTCAACCTGTTAAATGCCTCAGGAATTAGAGATTTTAGGGTCTTAGCTATTTTCCTCTGCGTCCTTCTCTCTTTATTCCCTTGTGTGATGTTCACTCTTGTTCCCTCTTGCTGTGAGGATCACAATGGCAACAGCAGCCACCACTTCCTACACCTATTTAGCTTCTTTCCCTCCTCACACTTCAAAGAAATCAATAAAGATAAGTTATTCTTCATTGAACTTTTTGAGATGAAGAAACTGAAGCTCAAAGAGATTAACATGTTTTC